ATAAAGACAGGGGAACGTACAGTACAGCATAGGAAATACAGTCAGTAATATTGTAATAAACTGTATGGTGTCAGGTGGGTACTAGACTTATCAGGGTGATCTCTTCGTAAGTTATATAGATGTCTAATCACTATGCTGTACACATGCTATTGTCAACTGTAATTGAAAATTTTTTTTTTAGTTTTTAAAAATGATAGCCATTAGTCTAATTTCTATATCTTTGTAAGTAATCTGTGTTTTCTCTCTAGTTTTAGAGTGAGCACTGTTTTAGTTGGTGTTCTGTACTTTCACAGCGAAGTGTTTAAGTTTGGAATTCTTTTTATTTGTGCTTTTTGGAATTCATTGGGCTTTTGGATGTGAGGATTGATGTCTTCAGCAATTCTGGGACGTTCTCAAGCATTCTCTCTTTAAATGTTGCCTCTCATTCCCTTTTGTGTTCTCTCTGTCTTATTTTCATCTCTGTTTCTCTGTTATATCTTGGGTAAATTCTTCAGATCATCTTCCTAGGTACTAATGATCTCTTCACCTATGTTTAATCTGCTGATTATCATTGAATTTTTAGAAAGGTATTATTTAGATATATATGCCATACAATTCCCCCATTTAAAGTGTAAATCAGGTGTGCAGTAATCCCAGAAATATTAGAATATTTTCATCATCCCCAGAAGAAACCTTGTGCCCGTAAACATGCTTTCTCCATCACTGCTCTCCTCATTCCCCTCATCCCCTGGCAGATACCAATCTACTTTCTGTATCTCTAGATTTGCCTCTTCTGGACATTTCATTTATATGGTATCATATGTGTCATGCTTTGTGACTCACTTCTTTCACTTAATGTTTTTGAGGTCCATCCGTGTTGCAGCATATATTAGTACCTCATTCTTTTTTATGGCCAAATGATATTCTGTTTTATAGATATAACACATCTTGTTTACCCATTCATCAGTTAATGGCTATTTGGGTTGCTTCCACAGTTTGGCTGTTGTGAATAACGGTGCTGTGAACATTTGTGGACATGTTTTTATGTGGACATGTTTTTATTATCCATTGATCCCTTAAATCTGTCTTTTAATTATGCAAGAAATACACTTCTACTTTCCTGTAAAAGACTTGTAACATAAAAGTATGTAATGCAAATAGGGCTGTGCTCTTTCTCCCCCTCCACCGCTAGGAGGGGACTGCTGTGAATAGTTGGCTGTGTCCTGGTCTCCTTCCTTACATAATGCTTGTAAATAAATCTCTTGCTTTCATTTGAACATAAAGGGTATATATATATATATATACATATATATATATATATATATATTTTGAGGCTTTTTCTTCATTTCAGTATGTTTTGAGTTCTTTTGTCAGTATACAGAGATTCACGTAATTCTTAATGGCTACGATAGTTTTATTTTCCTATGCCATAATTTGTGTAACTTACCCGTTGATAGACACATATTTTGTTTCTGAATTTTTCTCTTGCAAATAGTGGACCAGTCAATATCTCTGTTAAATTTTTAAAAACCATTTACTGGGGCAAAAAACTGTTATGCCTCAGACCCAGTTTTGAATGTTATGAATACAAAGATAAATAGACCATAATTTCCTCCTAGAGTTACTCTTAGTTATATAAATGCGACAAGAACATAAAGTGAATTAATTGAGGATCTGGTGTTTTTCCAGCTAGGAAAGATAGATTTTTGTCACATCAGGCATTGAATGCTGTCGTCTTCTGAATAATTTCTCTTTTGGTCCTTATTCATTTTTTATGTATCTTCCTAGAATCTGAAAAGTGAAATTGTTACCTCAAAGGATAGAACTTGTATTCCTGCAGGGTTTGTTTGCTTCTCTCAGTTGCCTGGGGCATTACTTCATGGACTACTTTTGATTAAATTCTTGCCTAAGATTCTCAGGTAGCAAGAATTCAGGCTGCAAATCCAGTAGGTGTCCACTTGAGGTTATGACATTTCACGGAGAGTTTTTTCTCCCTTCTACCCATTGCTAAGTTAAAAACTGGCAGATTTCATTGTTCTTTCCTTTCACGTCCTCACCTTGTTCACCCTTACACTGAGGGGTCATAGTTTTATTTTATGTAGGTCTTCTGTTAGATTCTTCACTTTTTGGTCTTTCTCTTTTTTCGTTTGGTAGGAACCCCCAAGGTGAAGTTTCAGAGTTCCTGCATTCACTTTATTTTTGTTTTCTCTAGAATTACTTAAAGTATCTACTCTGCCCTTGTGCTGCAAATGAAATTCCGTTCAGTCTTTGAAACACATTCTTCCTTTGGCTTCAGTATACCACAGTCCTGGTTGTTCTCCTTTCCTTCCACTGAAAACAGGTAGAAATTATTTACGTATTTGTCTTTCTTTTTAGGTTATAGGCTCTTTAAAAATAAGAATCTTTTAGTCTTGTCACTTTTTGCATCCCAGCCTGATTGTTGAAGATGTTCGTTTAAAATAAGAATGAATACCTCCATTTGTCGAAGGCTTTCCATTTTCTAAAAGGGGGATAAGTTTCAAAAAGTAACTG